TACAGAAGCAAATAGGTGAAAACGAAAAGAAACTAGAATATGACAGACACACAAAGAAACTCAATGAGTTAAACGTAGAGAAAAAGAAGAAAGAAGAACAACTGAAAGAACTAAGTACAGAGCAATATGCGAAAAAAGTGTCAGAAAAAGCAGCAGAAGTAGCAAAAATGGAACAAGATGTCATAAATTTGAAAAACCATACTACTCGATATAAAGTACTGAAAGATGAAGAAATAAAACAAAAAGCCCTGAAGACATATATGGATAGCGATGAGTATAAAAAAGAAGTTGAAGCAAATGTAAAGGCAGAAAAACTTTTACAGTTGCAAAACCAAACCATACAGTATGAAAACTTAGCACAAGAAAGTAAAAATAACGACGCAGCCATGCAAAAGGCAATGAAAAGCGCAGAATATATAAAAGCTAACAATGACTGGTTAGATGCCCAAGCCAACGCCAAAGCAGCCCAACTCATAGGGTCAATAAGGACAAAAATACAAGCGGATGAAGACAGTTCAAATGAAGCTTTAACGAATGCTGACTTTAAGAACGCCTTCGAAGCTCTTCATAGTAAGGTGAAACAAGTGAACGACTTCTCATCTGGAAAGAAACTGAAGTCTGAAGGTTTCGACAAAGAGTTAAAAGAAGTAGCACAAAATATGACGAAAATAACAGATGCAGCAACGAGACAGGCAGTTCAAAGTGCCTATAACGCCGTTAGAGCAACTGTTGTGGAAAGTCAAGAAAAAGAGTTACAACAGACCAAAACAGACCTAGTAAATGCTTTCTTAAGAACGAAAAGTCAGGTAGGACATTACGCTGCAGATGGAACATATGTGCCAGCTGGTGGAACTTATATACCAGCTGTTGGAATTTATATACCACCAAACCCTCCAAGAGAAGCACCTGCACCAGGACTACCTAAAACATTTACATCGTCACATGGACACAGACACAGGCATGCACCAAAACCAACACAACAACCAACAGTTCAAAATCCAGCAAACAACAACAACAACCAACACAACAACCAACAGTTCAAAACCCTGCACAACAACAACAAACAGAGCAAGGACATAAAAGAAGTAGAGAACAAGGAAACCAAGAATTCTTAAAAATGCTTAAAGAAGACTATGGTTACCCAGATAGTATTGACTTTAGTGACAGATATAAAGAAGCTATTAGAAAGTTCAAGGATGGAAATACTGACCCGAACCTATTTAGCTTTATGGCTCTGCACCAAAGGGGATATAATCTCAAACCTGGAAAATACAAGCTCGCTAAGGGATATGATTTAATAGCATATCATCCAAATGACATGAACGAATTTACTCCGAGATATTTGATGTCAGAGCTAAATGACAATTTAACTCTCTTCATGAAACGCGTAAAAAATAGAGACGGAACGAAAGAAGAAAGGTTTATGAGTCCGGATGACTTAGAAAGGGAACTTGTTGAAAACGGTCTCGGAATATATGAAATGCCAGCAGATGAGGTACAAGAAACTCCACAGGAAGAAGTTCAGATACAACCAGACATGGAAGAAATAGTTCAGCAACAACAGCTAGAAGAGCCTGAAGGAAACGAACAAGTCACTCCTTTGGAAACTAACTTCACAGAACTAGATGAAGATTTGGAACAGCCGAAAAATCTTGACCCTCAACAAGAGTATGCGGAGAATATGGAATATTTCCAAGAGTCTAAAAAAAATTCGGCTGACATAGTAGAAGAATATCGAAAAATGTTTGCCGACATACAAAAGACTCCAACACCAGATGAAAATATTCAGCATAGAATGGAAGCACTGAAAGAAAATGTACACAAATACAACAACCCTTTTTACTTACGAGCATTTAACGTTCAATCTTCGGATGAACTCGGTGAAAATAAAAGGTTAAATTTCAAGAAAACATATAGAAATGAAACATTGTTTAAAGTTCATTCAGAACCTAACCAAGATGGAAACAAACCTACTTTTGTTTCTGCAGACGATGGAACTACAATGAGATGGGGCCATAAAGCTAACCCGGATAGGTGGTTCATAAACTTACAACCACAATTCCAAGAAGTTGTAGACGCAATGGAAGTCAATGGTGAACGAGATATAGCTGGTATTTTAAGCGCGGCTTTAATGCCATTGAAAGATATGAAACATGCAGATATTTTGGACCAGTATGAAATGAACATGGCTGATGGAAATATAACACCTGACGTTCTAGAACATTTATCTCAAAGAACTACACAGAACCATAGAGATGGTATATTTGGTGAAGAGTTTAGAAAGAAAGTTAGGGAGGGAGAAGGAAGAGAACCTATTGTACATGACCTTGCAAACGAAAGTTTACAAAATGTCATAAAAACTTACTTTGCAGACGATGAACTGAGAAGGGATGAATATTTAAGAAAACTCAAATGGACAGTACCAAATGAAATGTTAGTATTGAAAAACATGTTCCTTGACAAAATAAAACCAACTACAGAAATAAACGACGCAAGACTGAAAGATTGGGTAAAAGCTTTCCCATTCACAAAAGATATAGTTGGTAACATGGAAAGAAAACCAGAATGGCTACAAAAACATATATTTGGAAACGAGCTTATTCCATATGGACAGGCACTGTTTGAAGAGCTTGAACCGGAAACTCAGGACAGAGTCATGCAAACAATACGCAAAGACTCAAATACAAACTATGACAAACTCTTTCTAGGATATAGGTTATCTGAGATGGGCGACCAGAGCCCAAAGGCAAAAAGGACATGGGAAATTTACAACATACTAGGTGAACATGAGGCAAAGATGCAACAACTTGAAGCAGAGGGCAAGTTACCAAAAGCGACACCAAAGAAGAAGAGTAGAACAAAGTGAAAGTAGTGAAGAAGTAACTTCATCTAGTGAAAGTAGTGGCAATGAAGGAAAAAGAAGAGTTAAAAACTCAGTCAGGAAGAAAGTAAAGCTTGGTCCACGTGGGTTCTATTATGACATATAAATCCAACTATTCTATATTTTTACCCATATGAAATGTACGCCGCTCAGAATATAACACCAACAGTTTTGGATGCCATGAATGGAAATGTTTCCGAATGGTATAACGAATGCGACAATGCCATTAGAAGGTCAGAAATAGTTCCTGGAACTTACGAATATACAACTGCTGTTTCTTATGGAAACGTAGGTGAGTTTGGAGAAGGTTCTTCAACAACAGTAGATATTGCTTGCGACAGGTTTCATATTATTTCTATTGACAACTCTTTCTTATACGTGGAACAAGACATTGAAATAAAACCTTCTGCCAAGTTGTCTGACAAGAAAGGTTGCAATGGAATTTTCTATGTCGGATACCAATATGCTCCAGAAGTTTTCATGGGATATAAGATATATTCTAACTCTGACTTAGTTCAAACAGTAACATGGGCAAACTATGAATGGTTCGCTTTGAGAAACTCAGTACAACCACAAGCTAGAGAACAAACAGACCAGTATGCAACTATTGAGAAAATAAGAAGACTTGACCCTAACGTTCCAGGAGTTTATGTTGACCTTTCTGGACAAACTGCAGCAGCAGTAACCAAAGTAAAATTGAAACTTAGAGTTCCTTTGTCATCTTTCCTCATCTTCAGGTTTTTAAGATACTTGCCAAACTGGGCAGGAAAAATTTCTATCGAACTTACTCCAAGCAAAAATAACTTAGTCATTGCACCAACACAAGACCCATTCACTCTTACTGTAGCTGGAACTGGTGGAGCCAAGTTCTGTGACTTTTGCAAAGACAAAGTTGACTTAGACTTTGGTTTCTCAAACCTCAACACTGAAGTAAACTACTACTTCAATGCTGCTGGAACTGCTTGGGACCCAGTTAAGTTCACATGCGAAAAATTTGAATGCAAGAGAATAGAAAGCAGACTTGCAGTCTATATGTTGGACCCAGATATTTCAAATGCTTTAGCTGCCAAATATATTGCAGTTCCACTTATGTTCCCTATACACCAAATATCTGTCAAAGACTTTGCAGGTGAAGTTGGAAACCAAAGTGCTGACCCAGGTGCAAGAACAGATATTGCCTTAACAACTGCAATGAAACATGCAGATACTATGTTTGTACTGTTCAGACGAACTATAAATGACTATTCTTGTTTCTACAACCCCGGTATTAAATATCATATAAACATAGATGGCAAATACTATCCAAGAGAAGAATATTCTACAGTTGAGGATATGAGGTCATACAACTTGACATTAGATGCTATGAACTTTAACAACAACTTCACAACAACCATTAACCCTGAAATGCAAAGTTCTATTATGCCATATGTGAAAGTATGGACTCATACAGGAGGTCAAAAAACTCAATATACAAATGGAGACCGTTCAAACTTTTGGCTTGGCATTCCATTTGCTGACTCAGAAGACTTTATGGGTGGTATTTCAACTGTTGGTACAGTTCAAATACAATATACTGGTGACAGAGACGGTCCAGATGAATTGAAAGCAAAGAAGTTTACAAAACCAATAGCACTTTTCACGGAAGATGCTCTTTTGAAGATTCGTTCGATGAAACCTGCTGGGGCTCCTCAGATTGGTATAACGACAGCTTCCATCGAGCAGATTTTGGCAGCAGGTCAGTAAGTTGTTCTTGAACTGACTTCTCTCCGTCAAATATTGACAGTACGCCAGTTTTGATATAATATTGTATTAAAAACTTACCTTTAGAAATATCGGTCAGTTTTGTTGTTATATTTTTGTCAACGTCAAGAACTTTCACCATCTCGGTTATACCAACTTTCTTTGCTTTATGAAAATATTTTGGTTCAGCAAAGACTGCTATTCTATAACATTTTCCATTGTTTGTGTAAAGAACTACTCTGTCAATGAACTTGTATTGTTTGTGTGTGTAAACTTTGTTCTGCTTCAATTCGAAGAGATACTCAAATACGTCCATCTTTTTATTCTAAGTAAAATGTCATTTCCGAAAAATAGAAGCGTAAGTGTTTCAAAAGGTTTAATGGCGGTGGCAGATGTGAAGTTAAATTCACCAACTCAAACAAACAGTCAAAGTGTTGTTGTCAATGTCAAAGAAAGAGATGTTGAAGTGGGGAAACCATACGAAGACGAAGATGGTATAACAATAGTTCCTGTAAAAGAACCAACATACCCTGAAGTTAGCAGAGACTTAAGTTCTGTTGCAGATATTCGAAACGACTACCAACAACTTAAAGACAAACTTAAAACTCAGGAGAAGATTTGTCAGGCTTTGGGTATAATGTTAAACTTGGTTGAGCACAACCCTGTAAAAGTGAACTCATATGTCATCGCACCTCATGAAGTTTTGAAAGAACTATTGAAACTTTTGACAGAGGCAGACGATATAAACATCAAAGAAATAGAACCGACATTGCTTGCTGTGGTGTTTCATATAATGTCATTGACAAGATATACGTTATGAAAGGAGGTGAAACGTTGAACTTAAAATATAGTTTCCCAGACGTCATAAAAATATTTGACGACCACAACATTTCATTAAAGTTTGTTTGCTAAGTAAATGGCAGAAGACATAGTGGTTTATACTATTACGACTAAAAACCCTGAGTCATATAATTCTATAACAACAAACTTACAAAGTCCTCAAGGACGATATTGTAAACTGACCTTAAACACGATGACGACTAAAGCCTGTTTTGCTCTTTTGACACCAGAAGACTTTGTTGTTGTGAATGGTAAAAAATACTCCTTTGAAGATACTTACTCAGATATACCACCAACAGGTTTTGTTGACTTATTTAATACTTTAAGGACGGATGTAACATGTGCTGCAACTAGAGCAGGTTTCATTATGTTTGGATGTCCGACTGAGTTTAGTATAAACGATATGAGCTATAATACAAAACTTATATCTGGTTTTTACTACCAACAGTTTCCTATAACAGGAAAAGGTGTCATACAAGGAATGTCTGTTCCATTGACTTTAAGTACACCTATTTTATATATTGTTTCAAACTTAGGTTCAAAGTGCTATTCGAATGTCGACAGAAACTACTATGACCAAAAGATACTCATGCGTATAAACAACACTTTCTCTGCTGGTTTGCCTATTGTTCATTCGAATGCAGAGTTTTCAGCTTTAGTGAACTCAAACACTTTAGCAAACATAAACTTAACCTTAGTTGACGCAAACTTTGTTCCTGTAAAACTTTTATGTCCTATGTATTTGTCAATGACGGCAGAAAGTTTCGAATTGGAAGATGCAACTGGTGAAAGTATTGTACTACAAGAACAACTTCAACAACAAATAGCTCAAGAACAACAAATGCAACAAATGGAACAAATGCAACAACAAAGTCAAGAACAACAAATAGCTCAAGAATAAAAAAAATATTTTTTTTTATTTTTATAAAAATGTACAGAATAGACGTTTCAGATTTTTATGACTTCCAAGCTTCAGAAATATGTGTCCATTTCGAGACTATAACAAAGCAGTCGAGAATTTGAAACGTTTAGTCATTTATGTCGACTCTGCCCCAGAATGTTATGTCATGAAGAATGGGATGTTGTCTTTAACAAACCAAGAGCGACAATAGTTTCAGAACAAGAATGTAACAGAAACTTAAGAAAATAAAAGTCGTACAAGTTGGTATGAAGATGTTAGATGCTTGGGATATCTTATTGTCAAAGTTAGAAGATTTTTTCAGTTCGTGGTATAAAGTTCTATACACCATCTCCAAACTTCTATTCTATCTTCACTGGATATAAATACGAACAAGTAGAATGGAAAGAAAATGTTATAGAAGCTTGGTTAGACCATGTCAAAGAAATTATATGCAATGGAAACGAAAGAGTCTATGAGTATATCTTATGTTGGTTTGCAAACATCTTACAACATCCAAGTGCTAAAAATGAAACTGCTCTCATTGTAATTGGAAAACAAGGAACAGGTAAGAACACTTTCTTTACAGATATCTTATGCAAACTGTTAGAGGGCTATTCGAACCCGAATATGACAAACTTAGAAAACATCTGCGGTAAATTTAACTCTTCAATAGAGAATATGAAACTTATAGTATGTAACGAACTTCAAAGTATAGATACAACAAAAGTTTTGAACTCAGATGCTTTGAAGAGTCTTATAACAGACAAAGTTGGAGTTGTTGAAAGAAATATAAAGACCAAAGAGTTTGTGAAAATGTTGCAAACTTCGTCATGGTTTCAAACAACGCCGTTCCGATGAAGTTAGAAAGTTCTGACAGAAGATATGTAGTTGTCAGAACGTCAGAAGCTCATATGCAAGATACAGAATATTTTGACGACTTAGCAGAAACTTTAACATCTGACTTTTACAACCACTTGTTCTCATATTTCATGACATTAGATATTTCAAAGTTCAATCCAAGACAAATTCCACATACCGAAGAGAGACAAACATTGTTAGAAGCAAACAAGAGTGTATATGAACTGTTCATAGATGAAACTGACTTTGAGTGTTTAGATGAAAGGTCATTGTACGATTCGTATAAACAATATTGTCAAGAGTATGGTTATATGACAGCGTCTAAACGAACATTCTTGGCAAATGTCAAAAGTCTTTTAGACGTACAGAATGGTGTATATACAAAGAAAAATTTTTCTGAGTAAATTTTAAAAAAAATATTTTTTTTATCCGATAGAAAAGATGACGAAATTCATCTCAGTCAACAAGTACATGTCAGGACTTAAAGAAGAACTAGACCCATTCACATATTTGAATGTTTACTTCTACCATTTTGAAAAGTCTACATTTGACAAAGTTTGGAACATCGAACCAGTTAAGTTTGCTATTGTGACTAAAAATGGTGCGAAATTTGAAGACTTAGACATAGAAGGTTTGTTAACAGTCAAAGAAAGTTTTGACAGAAGGTTTTCAAACCTTAAAGAAGGCAAAGCATACAAACTTGTTATACCTTATGAACCAAAGAAAGCAGACGACTATGAATATTATGAGTCTAAGATAGTTGAAGTTCAAGGTAAATTGGGTAAAAAGATTTTAGAGTCTAAGCCGGTGTTTGCTCCTAAAGAGGAAGAGAACATTGACATTGACCCAGAAATGTTCTAAAAATAAAATTTTATTTTTACATGTCAAATTTCTTTTTCTCTGGCTCTGGTTCTTTCTTCTCTTCTTCTACTTTCTTTTCTTTCTTTTCTTTCTTCTTCTTCTCTGGTGGAGTTATGTCAAACTTCTCAGAACCATATTTTGTAAAAGTGCTTTGTCATTTAATAGCTCTTCTATTCTGTTTTCTATTTCATTTTCAAGAACAGCGCATGTGTCTTCTTTGCATTCTAAGAAGTTTTGTTGGACTTCATCTCTCCAAGAGGCGTCATCTCTGTCAACAAGTCTGTCATTGACAAATTTTAAGACTCTCTGCTTAAGGTTTTATGGTTCTTGTCATATTCCCAGAAACAGAACTTTAGAACAAATTCACCTTTCTTGTTTACACTATGTAAGATTTTATGGTCGACAGATGTTTTGCTGTCGAAAAGCTTGTCTCGAATATAGATAGCGAAATCGCTAGACATTTTCTAAAAGATAAAAATTTTTTTTTCTAAAAATATGTTAGAAAAAAAGTTTGCTGACATTGACAAGAAATTTGAGAATGTTTTAAACAAGAACAAGAGGAAGTTGGAAAATGCTCAGATAAAACCCATACATGACAAGTTCTATTTGCTCAGAATGGTATAACAGGTCTAATTGCACCACCTGGGTCGGGTAAGACTTTCACTTATCTTAAAATGGCTGCACAACAACAAGAACTAGATGAGAAGAACCCATTCTATGAGTTAGTAGTCATTTGTAGTACTTCGGGTCAATTTGACCAAACCGTCAATTCGTTCAAAGATATTATAAAAAAGTCTAAGTTAGTATGTATAAAGATACTGAGTTGTTAGATTGGATAAAGAAGTACCAAAGAAGAGTTTTGAAGTACAATGCTATAAATGAGTATATAAATTCTAAGTTTAAAGACCCAAATGAGGAAATGCAGAGAATATTAGAGAAGAAACACTTCAGAAACAAACAGAAAGAGATAGAATACTTTCGAAGAAATTGCAATCTTACGATTGGAAGACTTACCCTCACAGATGTCTTCTTATCTTAGATGACTTTGCTTCTCATCCTTTGTTAAAGAACAGAGAACAAGACATGTGTCGAATTCTTAAGAAGCTCAGACACTTTAACATTTCAGTTGTCATTTGTGTACAGACAGCAAAGAGTTTAAGTAAGGATGTAAAGAGAATACTTACTGATATCATACTTTTCCCCGGATTGTCCGAAGACGATTTCATGGAACTTATGAAAGAGTCCATGGCAGGTAAGTTTGACAGACATGAACTATGGGAGAAGTACAAAGTCATACAAGACCCTCATACTTCTTTCAGAATTCACATCTACGCAAACAAAGTTCAAATTGTAAAAAGTCAAGCGTAAAAATGTAAGTGTTTGAGTCTTAGTCTGTTGTGGTGCTGGGGCTGTCGGTTCTTCTGGCTTTGGAATGGACTCGGTTGGTGGTACGTCAGTCATCCGTTTGTGTCCTGTCGGAAGGAAGGACTTTTCCTGTCGGAAAGAAAAACTTTTCCTGTCGGAAAGAAAAACTTTTCCTGTCGGAAAGAAAAATTTTTCCTGTCGGAAAGAAAAATTTTTCCTGTCGGAAAGAAAAATTTTTCCTGAAGGTCGGCCAAAAAGTTCTCAATTTTCGAAAATTTGAATGGTTTACGGACGGACAACTGGAAAATTTTTCCTGTGGAAGGAAAATTTTTTCCTGTTGGAAGGAAAAACTTTTCCTGTTGGAAGGAAATTTTTTCCTGTTGGAAGGAAAAACTTTTCCTGTTGGAAGGAAGGACTCGGAATGCCAGAAGGACTCGGACAAGACAATTTACCATCTAGAGCTACCTGAGCCATCTTTGGTGTCAAGCTTGAAAAATAAATGGTTCATTTACTCTGCTTGTTTGAAGTTGTCAAAATACTCTGTTATCTTTTCTTTCAGTAGCGGCAAATCTTCTTTGAATGTAAGTATTGTACAACCTTTCATATCATAGTGTTTTGAGGTAACGTATCTTGAACTATCTGTTTAACATCTTCATTTGGTGTCATTGAAATCGGTAAGTTTTCGCGATAGAACCAATTTCTGTCAGATTTGTAAATCTTAGCTAAGTCGTAAAAGCTTTTGTTGTTTCTTCTGACTAAATGCAACATAACCATATCTCTGTCTTCTTCATTTTCCATCTCTTCAGTGTAAATCATATACTTATAGTTCTTTTCCTTTCCTTTTGGTACCGAACGTGGTATTCTTTTCTGTATGTTTTTGTCTTTTGCTTCAAGCTTGTTCTCTAGCTCTTCACGTTCTTGTCTATGAAGTTCGTCAAGAAGTCTGCAAATATACCAAGCATAGCGAGCTGAAGCCCATTGTGCCACATTATTTACAAGAAGTCTATGTACATACCAACCTCTCAAACCATTTGGCAAATTTTTACGATTTTCATAGAGTTTTGGCGACCCCGAAAAAAGTCTGTCTCGCTGTGCTTCGCTCAAAAGTTCTTGTGTGCTTTGGTTTTTGAACCAATCGTCTGTATGTTTGGTATCTGGAGCAAAACATGCTGTCAAAATACTTTGCATTTGGTACATGTCATCTTTGACCGAACGAATGAGACGTAACTGTTTGTTATACTGAACCCACTCGTATTCTTCATTTATATCTTCATGAACGATAGCAGTTGTTGTGTTCTCTGTTGTTGACATTTCTGTTCTTACATACAAAATAAAAAAAATAAAAAAAATAAAATTAGCGTTATTTTCTATCTTGTATAAAAGACCAAAAATAAACGCTTTACATGTATTTTTCAGCAACTTCGTCAAATACTTTTATAGCTTTGTCGATCTCATCTACTTCAAACGTTTCTTTACCTCTCGTGGGAGCACCATACATTTTCTCAAACTTTTCAAGTAGTTCTGTTTCAGCAGCTCTCATATCGTTAACAAACGCAACCTTAACTCTATTGACTATACTGTCATATCTTTGAGTTATATTAAATGTTCTTCCTATCTTATATCTCTTTGTATTGAAGTCCTTCGGTTTCTGAACGATGTAAAGTAAGCCTTCACTGCAACGTTCCGTATCGAATGAACCATATGTTATGAAATTATATCCAACAACTGGGTCAATCCAGAACAAAACTACTGGTATAAGACTTTTGTCTATAAGATATGCTCTTGTTCCATAGAATCTTACCGATATCATAAGCTCAGGATTTTTTGTCAAAATTTTCTGAGTTGAAGCATTTTTAACCCAGTCGTGTGCTTTCTTTCCTTCAGATAGTGTTAAAATGTCTGACAAAGAATATTTTTTGTATTTCTTTGAGTATCTTACGTTTAAATCACCAATTCTAACCACTTTGGTGTCATTGTCTATCTTTTTAACTGTTTCAAACTCAGTGCTTGTCATTTCCTGTTCTTACATACAAAATAAAAAAATAAAAAAAAAATAAAACTAACGCTGTTTTTTTATCTTGTATAAAAGATATGATTTCATAGAGTTTTTTTGACGAAGTGTCAAAGTTCTCTTCGTCAAAAAAATACAGTTATATCATGAAATTTGGTCATTTTTTCACGATTTTCATGAGTTTTAGGCGACCCCGGTTTTTTCCCTACTCGCATTTTTTTACGATTTTCATGAGTTTTAGGCGACTACGGTTTTTACAGGGGTCGCAAATTTTTACGATTTTCATGAGTTTTAGGCGACCAGGATTTTCCCCCTACTCGCAATTTTTCACGATTTTCATGAGTTTTTTTCACGATTTTCGTACGGAATCTCTATCCTCGGTTTTTCGAGGGTAGCATTTTTTCACGATTTTCATGAGTTTTTTTCACGATTTTCGTACGGAATCTCGACCCGCGGTTTTCCACCGGTCGCAAATTCTTGCGATTTTCGTACGGAATCTCGTTCCTCGGTTTTCCGAGGGTCGCAAACATATGAGGAAATTCATGAAATTTGGTCATTTTTTCATGATTTCAGGGATTTTTTTTACGAAGAGTAAAAGTTCACTTCGTCAAAAAAATACAGTTATATCATGAAATTTGGTCATTTTTTCATGATTTCATAGAGTTTTATGCAAGGCCGAAAAAAGTCGGGGTAGCAAACATATGAGGAAATTCATGAAATTTGGTCATTTTACTCAGCAAAAATATATTTAGATCTAACCAGGTCCCTCGGTCAACTAACATTTTTTTGAAAATGGTGACAACATGACATTTTGACAACAGTCCAGGAAATAGACTTCTTCGTATATGTTTTGTTGAGACTTCTTCGTCAATGAGCGTAAATCAGACAAAAATGAGTTTTGTGTGTTTTCTACGGTGGAGCCAAAAATGGCTCGACCTCAAAACAAGCATTTCGTGAAGAATATACCAACCGCCGGAATTCCGGCGGTTGCTTTTTATACAAAACATTGACGATGAAGTCTCAACAAAACAAGCATTTCGTGAAGAATATACCACCCCGCGGAATTCCGCGGGTTGCTTTTTATACAAAACATATACGATGAAGTCTCAACAAAACAAGCATTTCGTGAAGAATATACCACCCCGCGGAATTCCGGCGGGTGCTTTTTATACAAAACATTTACGAAGAAGTCTCAACAAAACAAGCATTTCGTGAAGAATATACCACCCCGCGGAATTCCGGCGGGTGGTTTTTATACAAAACATATACGATGAAGTTTATTTCCTGTGTTGTTGTCAAAATGTCATGTTGTCACACTTTTTCAGAGAAGTTCATTTGACCGAGGGACCTGGGGACCGAGGGACCTGGTTAGATCTAAAATATATTTTTGCCGAATTCAAGAGTTTTGTGTGTTTTCTACGGTGGAGCCAAAAATGGCTCGACCTCAAAACAAGCATTTCGTGAAGAATATACCACCCCGCGGAATTCCGGCGGTTGCTTTTTATACAAAACATATACGATGAAGTCTCAACAAAACAAGCATTTCGTGAAGAATATACCACCTGCCGGAATTCCGGCGGGTGCTTTTTATACAAAACATTGACGATGAAGTCTTGACAAAACAAGCATTTCGTGAAGAATATACCACCCCGCGGAATTCCGGCGGGTGCTTTTTATACAAAACATTTACGAAGAAGTCTCAACAAAACAAGCATTTCGTGAAGAATATACCACCCCGCGGAATTCCGGCGGGTGGTTTTTATACAAAACATATACGATGAAGTTTATTTCCTGTGTTGTTGTCAAAATGTCATGTTGTCACACTTTTTCAGAGAAGTTCGTTTAACCGAGTGACCGAGTGACCTGGTGACGTAGTGACACCTAAAAACCATCTAACCTAAAATATATTTTTGCCGAATTCAATAAAAATAAAATGGTTCATTTACTCACAATATTTTTGTACAAAACGACCCCAAACTTTTAACCTCTCTTCTGCAGCTTCTAATGAAACTTTAGCGAGTTCATATTCTCTAAATTCTCTCTTTAAATCTTCTTGTTCCCATTGGTCTAGTTCGTATGGAGAGTCTCTATAACCAGAACATATCTCATGTTCATGTTCTATTTGTTTTAAACGCATTTTTCTAACTTCTTGTTCGAACAAAGGTTTTGCATTCTCTACTGTATCTTCAAGTTCTTCTTCATCTAATTTCTCATGAACTTTCTTGTCTATGGAGTCCAGAATTTTTCCAACTGCTATGCAATATTTTGGAGAAGCCCACATTGCTATATAGTTTACGAGTCTTGGGTCTACATACATTCCTCTAACCTGTTTGATTTCATCGGGAATTCCTGCATTAACATTGTATAAAAAGCAACCCGCGGAATTCCGCGGGTTGGTATATTCTTCACAAAATGCCTTAAAATACTCTTCCCAGGACTTATTTTCCAACAACCTTCTAAAGTCTTTCCTAAACTGCTGACACATATTTGTTACATTTATATAACCATCCTTGTCTCTACGTAAGACTTCAATACCGTTGTAAGTGCCTTTTGTGAATGTTTCGCCATTAGATTTGTTCGTGAACGTTTTTGCTTCGACTGTCATATCTGTTCTTACAATAAAAATAAAAAATATTTTTTGGTGGGACGTCGGACATTCGTTTGTGGCTTAACCGTCGGACATTCGTTTGTGGCTTAACCGTCGGACCACAACGATAAAAATCTCATTTTAACTCACTTTTTCTATCTTAAGGAAATTCATGAAAATTCACCTGTTGAATTTTGTATAAAAAGCACCCCGCGGAATTCCGCGGGGTGGTATATTCTTCACAAAATGCTTGTTTTGAGGTCGAGCCATTTTTGGTTCCACCTAAAATATATTTTTCAATACTTTTTCAGCACTTTTCCGTAGTTGTATATGAAAGACAATTCGAGATAAAAGTCATAGTATAATGGTATTATATGCTGCACACCGTTTGTTGTGAACCAAACTTGAAAGTCAGAGAAACTGTTACTAGGTGGTTCGTAGAATTTAGAAGCAAAGTCATAAAAGTCCTTACCGATACACAGAAAACTGTTGTTGCTTGAACTGAAACTTGCATGACACATGACATTTTGAGGGTCAAACACGTTTCTATAAACTGTCAAATCTGCTGGTGGAGTATAAATTTAAATGGACCATCTGGTGGTAATGGTTCGTTCTGGTTTAGTAACCGAAGAAATTGTGCCCAAGAACGTTTGTCTACTCCCCAATATAAAAACTCTGTATCTCTTGGAGGGTTAATTTCAATCTTTTGAAATGAAACTGTGGAGTTCATCTTGTCGTATTCTAGCTTCAGATAGTATGTTCCATTTAGTAAAGAGTGGTATTTTTTCTTGAAATTCCCAGTAGTATTTGTTTATTTGAGTTTGAAAGTCATTTAGAGTTTTTTCAAGACTTTCGTCTGAACGAATTGTAAAGATTTTCATTTCGTCAAATTTTTCTATTAGACCATCAGAACCTTTATACTGACCGTGAAAATATACTGCGAACATAAACGCGTTAGTTCTATTTGAAAACAAAACTCTTCTAAATCCTATTGCCTTTGCATCTGAAGGACTTTGAAGCCAACGAATTGGATAGTCAAACCTGTAAGATCGGGATGAAATTTCTTCATCTGAAATATTTCTACCAGCATTTGTAAAGATATAGTCTAACGGTTTTGTATCTGCTACTTTTGTTCTTTGTTTTTCAACCTGAAGCATTTAATATATGTAAAAATATACTGTTTTAAAAACGTTTTTATTTCATGCAATGTTTTTATTTCATGCAATGTTTTATTTCTGTGCCGTCTTCAAGTATACCCCAGTACTTACGCTTGGAGAGGACATGAACTTCGGAAAATACCTTGTCTAGCTTAAAAAAGCCCATCTTTTCACCGACCATTCCCATTTCAATGAGTTTGTTATAGCCTTCCTCGTTCGTCATGAGTGCATCGATGTTCTCATAGTATACCTTCACTTTCGATTTGACCTCGGAGAAGAATTTGTTGTAGTTGTCAAGGACTGCCTTTGCGAACTGAGGATAAGACCAATGTTCGACAATAGGTTTTACTGTGGTTACTAAGCCATTTTGACCTTCGGTGAACTCGTATTTCAAAACAAAAGGAGAAAACCTTTCAACAAAGTTGTCGACCTTCTCATAGTGTTTACTCTTCATCTTTTGAGGTTTCTTAATGGAATACCCCCATGTCGAATTCATAAGCAATTTGAGTGTCATTGCAAGTTTGGGGTTTGAAGCTTTCCTAATATCATATAGTTG